AGTTTAATTATTTATTTATTTATTATTACCAGAAAAATTATTACATCGATATATATAAATTTTAATTTACATAAAATTGTAACCCAGCAGAGGAAAAACAGCTTTTCCTGTTCGCTGGTCTGGTATTACAGAAAAACTTAAAAATTAAACTTAAAATTAAAGTAAATCTATAATAAAATTAACGATGCGCTTTTATTAGATACAAAAATAAAAAGGAAGGGGATGTTTGCTAACCCCTTGAAGATTATATCGAAACAATTTTTCATAAACCAACTTAAATATTAACCATGTCGCACACGTACAAATACAAAGTTACTGATATTTCGCTTTTGTTCGAACGTAAAGTTTGTACGGTTTTTTTAAGTTTTTGTTTGCGAAAGGGTCGCTTTTCCGGGTGACTTTTGTTCGCTTACTGACGAGACCCGTCCGAATTTTCGATGACTGTTTGCCCAACGAACTCCCGAAGGCCCGAAAGCAAACACTGCGGGCACTGCCGGCGGACGTGTTTGTTATAGATCGAAATTCGTGTACAAAAATAGCGAAGCCATCAAAGAAAACCGATTGTGTGTTTTAATTAAATTTTTTAGAACCGACGGGGGTGGTAGAAGGACCTGGTCGCGCGGAAATTGCGGCCTGTTTTTAAGCTGAATAAGTGGGTTATAAAGGATTACAAAATTAATGAAATATTTTTGTAGTTTCTTACGTTATAGTTACGTAATATGTACAACTTTAAGGCTTCTTACACACGGGGGACTATGCTGTCGCGCGACATTTTTGTCACACGACACAACTGTAGCAGATTATTAATTTTTAATGATTCTTGTCGAATCTTCTAGGTATAAATAGTAATTAAAGATCAATTAAATATATGCAGTTCTTATATGGTCTTGTAACCTAACCTAACCTAACCTAACATTTTCTATCTTTTATAGAAGACGACGGAAACGATAGTGAAAATGGGTTGCAGAGGTGTTTCTTTCTACAGCAAAGGAAGCTGACCAAGGGTGAGTGATTTTTACAGTACCTATCCACCCCCCAATTCCCATCTATTTCATTAGCTAATTAATATTATAAATCATAGTTAGGCGTTAGATACAATTTATTATTATGTGTAGTATATTGCTTAGTAAACTATTTCCATTTCGGATATTAATTTTGGCCGGAACTACGTATGCATGAACATACACATGTGACCCCTTCTAGGGTTAATTGCAACCCCGTACATAGCAGCTCAGACACATAAAATACATATATGTATGTACAAGTAGGTACATACAAGGTAATTGTACCTAACATACCGTTAGACATGACGTTACCTAACATTACTGCGAATTTATGTTTGTGTTTGTACTAAACTTGATTACAGTAGGCAATACCTACTGAAATTCGAACCAGCACACGAGGTAATTTAATTAATTATAATAATGATACATTATGTCCCGTTGAATTTACCAATCAATGGGGAACGTTTGCAAATAAATCATGCGTGAAATCGAAAACTTGTTCGATAAAAAAACGTGTTGTATCGGCCGGAGATAGAGCCCGAGCCGAAAATTCATCATAACGTATTTGTTTTTAGGTAAGTTTGTATAAACAAGTGAAACAATGCCCACATTGATAGTGAATTGTTTTATCTGAGATGAACTATTTTTGTGGTTATATTCAAGGAAGTGGTTATAAATTTCTTTTTTGTCGTATCGTCGATATCTTGAGTATATATTTTCATTCATTCGTTCTCGTACTCGATAGGAATAAATAATTCTTCCCTTGCATTTGTTTTTTTTTTCTGAAAATCATGACGACGTTATCGACGCTGGTGTTTCTCTTTCTGTTGTGCCTAAATGGTCGAAACGTTCAATTTTGCGATTCCAAAGCCGTCGGTTATAATTTTTCGCATGTGCATAGTGATTTGATAGTAACGACAGGTGTTAAGGCGCCGGATGTTCCGGAAACGAAAAGGGCGGTTCCAGTGCAACCGGAAGAAGACAAAGAACCAGGATGGATGGTAAATAATGAAAGAACGCTTTGCTTTAAGACTGTATTTAGTCAATGGGTTTGGCTTTTTGGTTTTGTAGCGCCGGCAGCTCATGAAGTTTGGCGAAGTGTCAACCAAAATTGGCAACAGTTTGGGGGGAACCGCGTCCAAACTGACGGGAGCTTTGGACAAAATATGCCAAGTGATCAAAACGGTCATTCCGGTTATAGCGGCCGTTTGCCACGTGGGTAAATTTCAGTTTTGTTCTGCTGCTACCGAGGGGCCCCAGGAACTGGCCAATGCCATCGCACCAAATAATTTCGATTTGGAACTGGACCGATAATAATTGTCGTCAAAGCTGATACATATATGTATATAAGTACTTGTGTATATTCAAAAATAAGGGATGCAATTTGAGAAATAAATAATTTTTGTTTGTTTGATTTGAGTATATTGGTATGCAAGGGAAGAAAAAGTAGGAAAAGATAGGAGATCAAAAATTAGAAGGAGTTGCTGATTTTCGGTATCTAAAAAGTGAGTAGTCAAGATGGAAGGGGTAGTAGGGATATAAAGCAGAGGATAGCTCAGGGTAGAGTCGCCTTTAATAAAAAGAAGTCACTTCTATGCTCGCGGAAGGTTAATTTGGAAATTCGAAAAAGATTGTTAAAGATGTATGTTTGGAGCACGGCACTGTATGGGTGCGAAACATGGACAGTGGGCGCGGCGGAAAAGAAAAGGTTAGAAACGTTCGAAATGCGGTGTTATAGGCGGATGATGAGGATATCGTGGATAGAGAAGGTTAGAAATGAAGAGGTATTAGAAAGAGTAAGAGAACAGAGGACTCTATGGAAGTCAATAATAAATAGGCGAAATAGATTGGTAGGACACCTTCTTAGGCATGAAGGTCTAGTTAGAGATATATTAGAAATAGGAGTTAAGAGGAGTAGAGGTAGACGTAGATTAGATTACTGTTCGCAAATAGTTAAGGTTGTGGGTTGTTCTAGTTTTAGGGAAATGCTAAGATTAGCTCAGGATAGCAAATAAGAGTGGAGGTGCGTGTCCAACCAGACCGAACGGCATGGCCTAGAGGTTTAGACCATTGCTTAGCATTCGGGAGGACGCCGGTTCGATTCCGAGTCCGTCTGCCTTGGTCCAAGTTTTTCTGTGGTTTCCTTGGATTAATTAGGCAAATGCTGGAGCAGTAATACTCCACAGATAATCCTTCAGTCTCTTCTGTCTTCATTTCGTCCGTCTCATCTTTCTCACCCGAACTGCCACCCACCCATTCTCACGAAGCTGAAGAGGGCCTTCCGCCTTACCTTCCGGCGTAGTCCGGAGGGACCGCCCGCCCACCAGCATTACTGGCTGGTGGGAATGAAACACCCAAAAGTTTTTTTTTTTTGTCCAACCAGGCTTAGAATTGATGACCTCATGATGATGATGATGACCAAGCAAATTGAATTGATGTACCTAACTATACATAAAATTTTCTCGAATCCTTCCTTTTGGTGAAACCGCCCCCCCTCCCTAGTTACATTTGGTTAATTTAGTTTTTAATCTATACGCGGTGATATCTTTTTTATATCAACTCGAAGGGTGTTTCGTGAATAGTTAATGATGCAGGATGGTCTAGTTTTAAGGAGATGCGAAGATTAACTCAGGATAAAAAATCGGTTGTCTGTAAAGTCGGTTTATTGACGATGGTTGAACGTGACAACGTCGTAAGAAAATACTGATGGAATGGTTTCATTTTTCAAAAGAAAATTTTAATTTTATTTGTTTGATAGATATTTTGTATGGATATAGAGAAGGAGGTAAATGGAAATGTATTATTGTATAGCAGCTGTCCACGCGGACGCATCGCTCACTCAAGTAGGAGAGAGACAGATGTCGAACGCTACCGAACGCGGAGGCCGATTGTGCCTCTTTGTCGCTCGTTCCGCGCTCTCGCTTGCACTTCAAACCTTAAATGGAACGCCTCAGAGCGAGGTAACGCCGCACACGAGTCATGTTTTTTCGTGCGTGCAACCGGCTCCATCGAATTATAAGACGTTGTCACGTCAAAAAGTGTGGAGGTGCGTGTTCATCTAATTTCAGTACTGACGACCTTATGTCGATGATGACGATTCGAATTCATAGTTATTAAGGATGTCCGAAGTTTTTGTCCCGAAATTGTCGTTTTCCGTCCAATATGGAAAAAGCGATTCCGGAAACGGAAAATGACAACAGTTGAGCCACTTTTCGATGCCTCGGCGTCGGTCGGAGGCGCATATTGAGTGAAAGTTATTCGAAAACTTCCAAAAATATTTACATACCAAGAGAGGTAATATCGTGTTTCGGGATTCGGGGGACGGGAAGGTAGTTTGTCTGAATCAATTGCGAAATTGCTGCGCTCCATCTCTTGCATCCGAGCGAGACATTTCACGGACCGTTTCACCCGAGTTATAACCGCCTGCACTGTATAGACAACCGCCGTTTCCTTCACCGTCTTATAAATATCTAATCGTAAAGTCTGCAACATTGTGTGACAAATAATCTTTGGTGCTCAAACCGACGGTCCGGAAAGCCACTATCTTATCCGGAAAGCTCGCACACGGTTGCCAGATAACTAACCGCAACTACTTAACGATCTTTCTGATTTCACTCGCAAGGGAGAGCTATATTTTGACCTCTTTGGTATTAAATTAATCGTTGAAATTTGGAATGTTCGCAGGATGTAAGAAATTCACGTAATCGTGTATTTTACTCTGAGTTTTCCATGTGGAGAGAGAGGCCTTCGGAAAAATAGCGCGGAAATTTAAAATCGATACCTTGTTAGTTAATTTCAAGAAATTTTTACTTTTAATAGCGGTTAATATTTAATATAAACATGAATGAAATATTTTCCTCACTATTGGGATCCGTCAAATGGGAGGAGCCTAAAAACATGGCGCCGATTAGGGAAAATTTATCGTAGTTCCTATAGTGTACCGTGCAATTTCCAAGTTTTTAAATTACGATAAAATGATAAGTATTGACACAATATGTGATTGGGCTGACACAAAGCCTCGGAAAGGAAATTTCGTTGAAGGTGAGCGTGTTTTTAATGCCAATCACATTATAAAATTCGGAAATAACAAATCCGGAAGCTAGCCTTCAAATTCCGTCAAGTTTACTGCCTACTTTTTACAAACTTCGGATTTAAAAAGTGATTCACGTTATATAATTGGTGAGGTGATTCTGGGTGATTTAAGCAATATCATATCAATGACTTGCACGTGCAAAGCCGATTTAAGAGAACGTTGCAAACACATTATTGCAACTTTGTTGTATTGCAGCAGGTAGGTTCTTAACCTCAAAATACTTATATCGTATCATTAGAATTGTGTTAAATCAATTACACAGGAATAAATAATTTCTCACTTTATAATTTTAGTATGATTCTAGTTTTAAATATTAAGGTTATGGCTGATGGTAAATACTTGCTGAAATATAATCATGTGCATTAAAATGACGTGAACAAATTTTTATTCCGGAATTCACTTCTTTGATACCTACTGCTTTCATCCAAGCTTCTATTAGTTTACTTTTTTCTCTAATTTTCCGAATATATTTTTTACATATATAAAACGGTTAGTTTTTATTGGAAAGTAGTTAATGTAGGTGAAGAGTGAAGATCTATGTCTGAAGTGCTATTGCAGCTTTTCACTGAACATATTAACTTTTTATTTGATTTAACTTTAGAAGAAAACTTCGTCGACTCCATCATCAAAAAAATTTTTACTTTTTTAACGTGTTTTATTATTTTAATAAACAATTTTACAATTTGCGTGCACAGTTCCTATGTAAATTTTTCCCTCATTCGAGTTATAAATTTTGCCACCAGATGGTGTATGCCCATTTGACCCAAAAAATTGCTGAAGTCACACCATCGCCCCATACGCAGTATAATTCATATATTGATAAATATACATTAGTTTTGACGATTCTGGAAGCTAATAAGTTCGTTTCGTCGCTGTTGTAGCTGTCACCTTTCGTAGCTTAGTTGTTAGAGCGTTGACATATAATGTTAAAGGTCCCGGGTTCGATTCCCGGCGATGGCGTGACAGTAGCAAAACTTTTTCCACATTGACTGTAGTAAAAAAAGGATTAAGCTAATTTCACACTGAAGATTACCACATTTCATGGATGTAACAATGTTGAGGACTGTGTAAGGGTAAAGGCTTTGGGATATTGACTAGGTATGAGGTATAATTTTGGCAACGCCGCGTTATTCTTAAGGGTAGTATATTCTCGACTATGCGACTTTCTTCGTTATAATTGGCTAATTAATTTCCCCAAATGAACTGGCTCTCAAGCCTCCGAACAAAGAAAATCTACCGACTCACTTCTCGTCCCGCCATAACCATAAATCGGGCCCGCAATAAACCCGCTGGGAGAAAATCGCCGATTTACCACGAAATCTTTGCAGAACTGAATGTCCTTGTGACATTTTTGCTTTGTTCTTTTTTTTTTTTCGGGAAATCGGTTATAACGCCTTTTAATTACATTCGTGGTCTCAGCAGCGGCAGATGTCGTTTAGTGTGGCGGAAAAGTTTTATTAAGTCGAGGGATCGTTGAATAAAGGGAATCTTGCTGGTGACATTTTAGAAAAACGAAAACAAAATTTGTAAAAGTCATCAAATACTTTCCAGTAATTGAGTTAACATAAGTATATGTATATATGCAACCAATTATACACCCGAATATAGACCCGCTGATTTTTTTTCTATTGTTTATTTCTACCTCAAATACTTAGGTCACTTTTAATTAAAAGTTTTGTTTAAACAACTGCATCCTGGATATCTAAAGTAGGTCTAAGCAAACCTTTCATGTTTTATTTAAACGTTTTAATCTTGTGTACCGTTTTTCTGCGATTATTAACCAAAAAGTACATAGTTGCAATTAAATTTTATTTTTGGAACTAGTTTAAAATATAATACTTATAAGTATACTGATTAATTACATGCATGTAATATAATGTTGTGGTAAGTTCACGTGGTTCATCTGCGTCCCTTCGCGAGTCCTTTGTATCCTGCAATTACTGGTAGACCTTTCTCGGCGGCTTTAAATATCCTTTTTCCGCCTTTTTCCTATAAATGAACCAGAAATTAAAACAAAAATGAACACAAGGTGTTTCAAGAAAAAACACACACATAATTTACTGTTCGACGTAGTCGATCATTTCCAAGAATCTTGTTTAAACATTGTTATTTTGTTTTTTTTTTTCTACATTCTGATGTTTCTTTGTCTTTCAAATAAATGAAAATCTTTAAAATCTTTGAACAGAATTCAGATTAAAAAAAAAAATGACTTACGATTTTCTTCCATCCCTTCCATTTGGCTTCACCTTGTCCCAGTAGAACGGCCAGGACGAATACAACCACCAGAAAGATGTAGGTTAACTTCATTGCTGCTTTTTTTTTGAGTTTTGAGTTTCTTGTGATCTACTTTTGTTCGAATTATAACAACTGAAGGGACTTGCGCTGCTTTTTATAGGTACAGTGCCATTACAGAACGATAATTGTATCTAATCAGAAACGTCAATCAACAATAAGTATGTACGGGGAAGTTTTCGCGTGAAGTGCTGTCTCACAATTAGCAAATTGAATTTCTTTATTATATTTGCTTTTCACCGTAAGAAATGCGTCATCATAAAAGTACCATGTAATTTTTATTTGGTTAGTCGCTTATACGAGATGGAGAAAGTCCTGCAGGACTAGAAATGGAACCATAAGTAGATGCGAGAAATTTAACAATTAGCTTAACTTCCCATGCATCAACAATCTTAACTAGAATTGTGTAGAGGAGGATGGAAAAAAGGGCGGAAGAACTATTAGGGGAAGATCAGTTTGGGTTTAATAGAAAAAGAGGAACGCGGGAGGCGATTCTAGGTTTACGGGCAACAGTAGAGAAAACGATAGAAAAAGGAGAGAGTGCGTACATAGGATTTGTAGATTTAGAGAAAGCCTTTGACAATGTTAAATGGGACAAGATGTCAAATATACTTTAAAATGTAGGGATGAGTTAAAAAGATAGAAGAGTGATACTTAGTTTGTATAAAGAGCAACAGGCAGTTATAGAGCTGGGGCTGCAACGTAGAGAAGACAGGGATGCACACTGTCACCGCTAGTTTTTGATCTATACGTCGAAGACATGATAAACATCTTTTAAGATAGGAGAACTGTAGGGATATATGTACAGGGGCAAAAGATTAGTATGCTTAGATTTGCAGATGATATAGCAGTATTAGCATCTAGCAAGGAGGAGTTAGAGATGGACTTAAATAAAATAAAGGCGGTATTGACAAAATAGTCATCATCGTCGTCAGGGTCGTCAGTCCTAAGACTGGTTGGACACGTACCTCCACTCTTTCCTATCCTGAGGTAAACTTCGTATTTCCCTAAAACTAGAACAGCCCACATCCTTAACTATTTGCGAACAGTAATCTAATCTAGGTCTACCTCTACCCCTCCTAACTCCTGTTTCTGCCTCTAATATGTCTCTGACTAGACCTTCATGCCTGAGAAGGTGTCCTACAAACCTATCTCGCCTATTTTTTATTGACTTCCATAGAGTCCTCTGTTCTCCTATTCTTTATAGTATTTTATGAAATATGAAGATTGGAAAAACTTTGGCGGTTGTTGTAGAACAAACAAAATAGCTGAAAACCCCAACGCCAAAACACGACACTGTAGTTATCCGAAGTTCACTTCAGTGTCCCTGAAGAAGGTTACCTTGTTACCGAAAAATGCTTCGGACAACTACAGTGTCGTGTTTTGGCGTAGGGGGTTTGAGCTATATTGTTTGTTCTAGTATTGTATGAAAATAAATAGAAGTGAAACAAAAATATTGTTATGCAGGGATAGAAAAAGATAGGAGACGAAAAATCAGAAGAAGTGGCTGATTTTTGGTATCTGGGAAGTCAGATAGTTCAGAATAGAAGGGGCAGTTGATGTAGGTATAAAACAAAGGGTAGCGTAGGGTCAGAGGTGTCCTCGGACCTACCGACTAAAACCCCTCTACCTCAAGTCGTTCTAGGAACACTTAAGGTCCTCTTCAGCCGTATGTATCTGTGTATTATATGATTGTGGTTTTTATATGGTGTGTGTGTGAAAACAGATTTAAATACTAAAGGGATTTCTCTTATCGAATTCTACAGTACTTAGAATTAAATAAGTGTTTAAAATACTTACTTACCTATTAGATATTAGAATTTAGAATCTAAAAAATGTACGAAAATGTGTTTAATGCGGTTTTAAAAAAAGAAAAGACTGTAAATTTATATTTTCGAATAAAAACGGTTAAGTTGGACTTCAACTTGGAGGTGACAGAGTTTGCAAACTGAGGATAAGTTTTTTATTTTTGGCTCTACCGAAAGTTTGTTCGATGCAGTAGTTGCTAACGAAAGCAAAGATTTATGTCTAAAACTGTGTGCCGCAGCTTAGCTGCAATGGATTTAAAGTTCTTTGCGCTCTGAAAGAAAAGATCTTTTTGTTTGTTTTATTGGAAACTCTATTGTTCACTTCTTAATGTATTATATGTATGTATGTATGTACGTCTGCAACACACGACACAATACGATATTTTTCATTTTCCATTTTGTTTTAAACGTACAACGAAACAAATGTAAAAAGAGAAATACGAAAAAACAAAACAAAAACAGTTGAGTAAAGAATCGAATAAGTATTTTATTGTTTTTATAAAACAGACATCAATGAATAAATAAATAAATAAATAATTATGAGAAGTACAAGTGAAGTTGATGATGTTGAATGTTATCGTTATCAGCCCCTCAGTGCTGCATACCCTGCAACCACGGGAAGTCCTTTTTCAGCAGCTTTAAAAACTCTCTTACCAGCCTTTTCCTTCATAAAAAATAAATATCTAGATTAAGTATACAATAATATCCTATTAATATAGAATACGTGATTTAACTTTTTAAAGA